GAAACATCATTCACAGAGTGAAGAGGCGAGCCTCATATGAGGAAGATTCACAATACACATAACTGACAAACAGTTTACATCCAGAATATACTACTACTACTACTACTAATAATAATAATAATGGAAAGACAGACCAATAGAAAAATGGGCAAGAACAGGCTCTTTACTTCCCACAGAGAAAATCCAAATGGCCAATAAATATATGAAATGTGCTGAGCCTCGCTAGTAATCAAGGAAATGAACCAGAGTGAGCAACTACTACAGACCCACGAGACAGCTGAAAGTGCAAAGTCTGGCAGTCCCAACTGCTGGAGGGAACAGTTGGTGAAAGTACAGGGTAGCTCTTACCCACTGGCAGGGGGTGTGCTTCTGTAATCACTTCAGAAAGCCATTGGCATTATTTTCTTTAAGTTAAGCATAGGCATACCTATAACCCAGGAATTCTGCTCCAAAGTATATACCTAAGAGAAATACATGCCCAGGTAGAGCAGTAGAGGTCTATAAGAATGTTCATGGCACCGTTATTCATAATAGCTCCAAGCTGGAAAGCACCCAGATGTCGGTCATTAGCAGAAGAGATAAATTGCGGTATATTCACTCAACAGACTGCTGCACAGCACTGAGTGCAAATGGACTACAGTTTCATGCAATGCTTGTCGATAATGTGAAGTGAAAAAAAAAGCCCGACACAAAAGAACCCACATTCAATGATGCCTTTATATAAAACTCATAACCAAGCAAAAGTAAGCAGGCCCCTGCTCCCACAATCTTCCACCACTCCTGCACTTCCGAGCTACGTGAAGAGTAGCAATAAAAGACTGCAATCATAGTCTGTAGCATGAAAGTTTCCTGTCTGGACAGTTATGTCTACTTTGTAGCTTCTCACTGCTGTGTAGAAACAAGCTGTAAAATAAGCAGATGGTTCTCAGTGAAAGGAGGTCTGCACAGGGCACGTTGTCCGATCACCTCGTCCTCGCCTCCTGCCACAGGCAATGCCATCATCAGTAACTTCCTGCTGGTCACCTTAGGTAGCCAACCAAACTTTCTTCAACACGTATTTCAAGGAGATGGCTGAACGATGCACCCTGGGCAGGCTTCACTTTACTGAAAACTGCCTGCTGATTTACAGAAGGGCTGAGCAAGGGTTTCCACTGTGGCCAGCTGGGCACCAGAGTTCCCCGTCTCTTCACTGGAGCTTCTGACCCGCGACAAGACAGAGGGCAAGGACTTGGGCCCCGGGCCCCCTCCTTCAATTGGGGGTCCACTTCAATTGGACCCCAAATTGTTTTTGACAAACAATTGTTTCTGACCAATCAATTGTTTCTGACAAATAATTCTTCAAGCTGCAGCACCTGGCTGGGGCCATTCTGTAAGTACTTAACACATGAAATTTCTTCTTTTTTTTTTTAACTTGGTTTTTAATCCTATTTTGAGGGGAACGAGTGCAGGTTAGAGACAGGAGCTCTGTTGCCTGTCTTTCCCAGGCACTCCCTGGCCGCCTTCGAAGGTCCCACCTCCACAAGGGAGCTGGGTCCCCACACTCAGGCTCAGCGGGTGCTTTAAGCGGCAAGGAATGCAGTGACTCAGCTGGCCACTCAGGAACACCTCGCTGAGCACGGCAGAGGGGAAGGAAGTCATTACACAGACAGCTGGGCTGTAAAAAACAAAAATACTCCACACACCACGCTCCACAAAGCAGGGTGGCTGGGTGCCCCATGACTCAACGGGACGCTTCTGCCATGTGGCACTCACCCCTCACGGGGCACTCACCCCTCACGCACTGCTGGCCACTCCTCTGAGCAGCTTGGAGAGCTGACTGGGTGGGACCCCGGGAAAGTCCGAGACTGTCTCTACTTTTCCTAACACTTCCCTCAGCATCTCCCTTCATTCTCCTTGCTCCTTCCTCTTTAACTCCCTTGCCCTTACAACAGCAAACAAACACACAAACAAAAAAGGCTGGAATTTAGCATTTCACACCTGCTGGACACTTGGTGGGGACACCATGAGGTCAAAACACGGGTAACCTAGTGAATCAGGCAGATACCAGCAACAAGTCATATCACTGGTGTGGGGTCCAGAGTCCTGGAGAGGGAGACCCAGAGGAAGACAGACAGACAGCAGCAAGGGATGGAAATTTCAAGGAAGAGGCAAGACCATCAAAGGTGAAGACCTTCACTCCCTAATCTTGACTGGAGACCTACTCTGTACCAGATGCCATTCTTGGGGTAGATCAGTGAAGACAGACCGGATGTCTTGCCCTTGGGGGCTACATTCTCGTGGGGGGAGACAGACCAACACCAAACACCATATGTAAGTAAGTTGGATAGCCTATGGAAAGGTGATTGGGGCTTCTAGAAAGGATTAGCGCTGGGAAGCTGGATGGGAGGGGTCAGGGTAGACAGGTGACATCTGAGTCATCTGGAGGTGGTGAGGGAGTGAGCCATGTGGGTGTCTGGGGAAAGAGCATTTGGGGGCAGAGGAAACCGCCAGGACAAAGGGGACAGTGTCCCTGGCAAGCCTGAGGACCAACCAGGGGTGAATGTGGCAGCTGCAGTGAGTGAGGGAGACCTGCGTGGGAGGCCAGAGAAGAGGGAGGTGTCAGACAGGGCGCCGGTGAGGGTTTGCACAGAGATCACACCAGACTTGACTTTGGTTTTAACAGCATCCCACTGCCAGATGGCTCTGTCTTCTGAGACTGAGATGCAAGAGGAAAACGAAATGAAGCTATGGGATGGTGGTGATGGTTTCATGGGTATCTTCACCTGTCAGAACTCAAAGGTACACTTTAAACACATGCGGTTTACTGTATGCCAGTCCGGACTGCAATAAAACTGGAAAAATACTGCGCTTTAAATCTTTTACTGTTTTCCCCACTTAACACTGGAAGTTCCATCCAGGCTGCTGTGTGTACAGCTACTTCATGGCCTCTCACTGCTGTGCAGAAAGAAGTCTTGCCACAGATGTAGAATGTTAGGAAGTCATTAAGAGGGATGCTGGGAAGAGCTGGAATCGCACACAGCATTGGCGGACGAGGGTCTGGCAGCGTTAGGACAGTCACAGGGCAGGACTTTCGGAAGAATGATTTCAGTAGGAGGTGAGATAAGCATTTGGGGAATCCAAAGGAGGCCAGGATAATTTTTGGACGGTTGTGCTTTCTGGTAAAATACAATACTATATAAAGGATGTCATACTAAGCAATCATGCAATCTACCCTCTGCTACCAAATTACTTAAATAATTCTTGGGCACTGGCTGGTGCGGCTCAGTGGATTGAATGCTGGCCTGCAAATCAAGGGGTCACCAGTTCGAGTACCCTTCTAGGGCACATGCCTGGGTTGCAGACCAGGTCCCCCAGTAGGGGGTGCACATGAAGCAACCACACATTGATGTTTCTCTCCCTTTGTCCTTCTCTTCCCTTCTCTAAAAATAAGTAAATAAAATCTTTTTTTAAAAAGTATACAAAAATAATTCTTGGTTCACACCAAAAATTAGGATAGGGTGGCATGCATAGCCAAAATTTTGTTGAATACAGGGTAAGATTTTGTTCAGTATACTTTAAAGTTAATAACTGGCTTCCTTTTCTTCATATGTAACAATGGTTTCTCCTTCACCAGCTTGTTATAAAGACCAAATAAGAGCATTCACTCACTAACACATGCAACTAATGGTTTTTTGTACCAGGCACTAAGTGAGATTCTAGGATACAGCGATGAGCAGGTGCCACCTAAAACACCAAGATGAGAAGACACATAATGCTATGAGAGTCTATGTGAGGGAAAGTCGACCTAGCCAGAAGATGTATTAGATAGTTACTGCTGTGTAACGAGTCACCGCAAACTTTGAGGCTTTGAACAGCAAATGCATTATCTCATTATTTCTGTGAGTCAGGAGTCTGATCACGACTAGTTGGGTCTTCTGCTTTGGGACTCCCAAGGCCACAATCAAGCTGGGCCATGTTCTCATTTGGCTGAACTGGGGAAGAACTGCTTCCGAGCTGCGCAGGTTGTTGGCAGGATTATTTCCTTGTGGCTGTAGGACTAAGGACTCCTGGAAAAACTGGAGTCTGGAGGCTGCCACAGCGCCTGGAGACCGCTCACAGCTCCTTGCCCTGTGAGCTTCCTCAGCGGGGATGTTTACTTCACTGAGTCAGCAAGGAGAATCTGCAGCAGCCAGTCTGTAACGTAATCTTGGGAGGGACAGCCCAGCACCTCTGCCGCATTCTATTGGTTTACATCAAGTCACAGGTCCCGCCCACCCCCAAGAGGAAGGGATAACAAAGGCGTAAACACCAGGAGGTGGGGATACAGAGGGTCATTTTAGAGTCCGCCTGCCACTGAAGGCTTCCCTGAGGAAGTAACAATGGAGCTGGGATCTTAGTACACGGACAGCAATACTGTGCACTGTCCTGCTCAGCAACCATCAGTTGTCCCTCAGTTCCCACGGTTTTGCCCCATATTCCAGGCCAGACAGGCCATCTCCCTGAGCTCACTCCCTCTCTCCCCAGCAGCCATCCATGCCTCACTCACCACTTCCACCCACGGAGGCAGCCCCTGCCTCTCCTTTATACACTCCAAAATCTACACATGATCCAGGTTGAGCTGCCTTGTATTACAATACATGTATTGATCTTCCCTAAATAACATTTTTAAACATTTATTTAAAGGAAGAGCACCATGCTAGGCCCTCCTTGAACTGCAAAAGCATTATAAGACATGATCCTGAATGCCAGACACAGAGTAGGGAGCAGGAGGTATACTCAAAAAGAGGAAGAATAAAAGGTTCCTTTGCTGAAGGTCAAGTTCCTGGGGCAGTCGGCACATCCTACAAGGATTGTGGACACACAAAAAGCTCGCCTTCATACAATGTTCCCTGGTCTCTGCGTAGTGTCCCCTAGGCTGGAAATCACAAGCGGGTTCCAAGAGAGTTCGGTCAAACTGACGTTTTTCCAGGAAGGGCAGTTGGGGCGGGAACTGCCCAGCGGCGGCCCACACTGCCAGGCAGCCTGGCCTGGCGGGTCAGTCCTGGGCTGGCCCAAAGGCCTCGTCGGAAGGGGTAGGGAACAGCAACAGCAGTCTCCTTCCCTCCGGCCGAGGAATCTGATCACAACCAGGGATAGTCCCTGAAAGGCTAGAAGAGACTCCAGTAGCTGCACAGCTTTAGCCACATCAACAGGTAAAGGGTACAGGCAAGGGAAAAGGGAAAAAAAAAAAAACAAAAACGGCCAGCGGACAGCCGCCCAGTCCGGCTTCCTGCGGCCTGTGGGAGTGGGCGGGGCCAGCAGGGTGGGGGGATGGGGCGGGGCCGGCGGGGCCTGCACTGCTTCCCCAGCCCCACCTCATTAGCCCCAGAACACACTAGCCTTGGCCTAGAGACTACAGCCTTGGGCCCGTGCACCTGCCCACTGCTGCTATAGAAAGTTGAATCTCTGCAGATCTCTTGGAGGGCAGAAGCCTGGATCTAGGGGCGGGGGAAGGCCTGGCTCCCTCTCAGTCTCTCCTTCCTGCCCCTATCTTCCCAAGTGCCTGCTCCCCCAGAAGCCAGGGGGCTTTTTCCCTATACCCACTTATCATTTGCTCTGAGGACTTTGACACTATCAGATTCCTTCCCCCACCCCACCCCATCCCCATAACCTCACCTCACCTCACTTTCCATCCTCCACAGTGAACGACCCCCAGGACCGTGTACAAACTAGTCTCTCTACACCTGCAACATTGTTCCCACCCTTCCTCAGCTAACAAATCCCAACTTCCTTTCCAGGCTTAGTCAGGAAGCTCTCCTTGACCCCTCCCACCCTGCAATGGGCTCCAGGGACTGGCGCACCTCAGCCCTCGTCATTTCACTTTGTAGTGGCCTGCCTGTCTGTTCTTGTCTCCCACCCCCTTCCTCCCCTCCCCCTCCCCCCAAGACTGCGGTGGCTGCAGCATCTCCAGTGTCTGGCCCAGGCAAGGTCTTCCATACCTCTGTCTGGGTGGAAGATTCCTACAGCTGCTTCATGTCTTAGATCAGCGATCTCCAAGTAGAGAGTGTACACCAGAATCACCTGGTTGGGGTAGGGGTATAAAATACAGATGGCTGGGCTTTACCCCTGGAGTTTCTGGTTCAGTTTGGCCTGGGTTTTCATTTCTAATGAATCCCCAGGTGCTGCTGGCCCAGAGACCAACTTTAAGAATCAATTAGAGTGTCAGTTTCTTCATTGCTAAAACAACTGCCGTTCCTACCATACTAGGTTTTGTGAGAATCCAAAGAAACGATGCAAACGAAGAACTCAGCTTTGTGCCTGCACCCAGTAGGTGCCCCATAAGTGTTTGCAGTTGCTGCCGGGAGTGGGCGGGAGACCTGCCAGGCAGAGAAAACATGAGCAGGAGCAGAGGAGGGAAGGAGATCAAGCAGCACAGCTGGGTGGATCAAAGAGCCAAGGCTGACAGCAGCAGCCAGGCAGTCCAAGTTGCGCTGTGCAAGCAGCTGGGAGCCACGTAGAGTTCTGGGGCAGGGCAGGGACAGGTGGGAGGCAAATGTGGCAGCCCTGGGCAGGAGGACGTTGCTGGCAGTAAATGCCACATGCTAGGTTCTCCTTGGCTCTTTGGTCAGGCACTGGGTTGCCAGATTTAGCAAATAAAAATAAAGTCTATCTAGCTAAATTTGAATTTCAGATACATAAATAATTTTAGTATAAGTACATTCCAAATATTGCATGAGATGGACACTTAAAAAAAAACCCTTTTAAAAAAATCAGACATTCCAATTTAACTGGGCATCTTTTATTTTTATTTGCCAAATCTGACAACTCTAGCCAGATACCAACTGCCTACCCATCAACCCCCAAGTCTGCATGCTGGAGAAAAAAGGTCTCAGGTTCCTCAGCCTCCCTTCCCCCCTTCAATGAGGCCAGCAGGAGTGGTCGAAGTTGCAGGCCTGGGTGAGCGGGTCTCTTCCACTTCTTGCCAGCAAGAAAGCACTGGGACACAGTAACTGATCATTGGGTCTGTGACTTAACAAAGCACAGAAGACTACATAGGTCCATAAAGAAGGAAGTACCACCTGCATTCACAAGTTGATCAAGAAACCAACAGTTGCCAGTGGTACAGGCCCATCTGGTGAGTGTACCCTGGCAGGGGAGAAAATAGCCACTACCTTTAACCCCACAAAGGGGCAAACACAAGCACCCATGCTGCTTGTAGGCTAAATGGATGCATTGGAGATGGTGATGCAAACCGCAGGCTAGAACAGGGTGGGACCTGCCTCGTGCGGCTCAGTGGGGCATTAGGGGGTTATACTACCAGAGGCTGCCTCCCCCCTGCCCTGACCTCCATAGTCACCAAATCTCTCATGATTCGTAGTTCCAGAAACAAGCCTGTCAGAAATTCAATTTCTGCAACAAACTTTACATAAACACTTTCCCCCCCTCTAACAAAGAATAATGAAAACAATTTGTGCTCCATCTTTAAAAAATTCGATAAACATTATGGAACGCGTAGTGTATGCCCTGTGCCATGTTTGGCATTTTATTTAGCTCAGTGTTCACAGCCTTGGCCACACATTACAATCACCTGGAGAGGTTTTTTGTCAGTTTGTTTTAATTCTAGTAACCCAGATATCAGTATTTGCCACAGACACAATGATTCCAACGTGCAGCCACAGTTAAGAGCCCCTGCCTTAGTTCATTCTGTGTAATCCTCACAGTGCAATCCTGAAAGGGAGGTTTTATCGCCATTTTGCAGGTGAGGAAATTGAGGCTCAAAGAGGAGGAACTGTGGCACAACCTCTGACGTCTCCTTCCTCCCTTCCCAGGCTCACTGGAGGGATTGCCCGTGTTTTCAGGGTTTCACTGTTATTTATGACAGTAATAGATTATGCTTCCACAGAAATGCTTGTGGTGTGGCACCGCCCTCTGGCCACCTTGAGATAGCGCTGCTCCCAACGGGACTTCTGGGAGACCAGCCGGACATGCCTGGGTTCAGGGCTGACACCAAATGACTTTTGCTAACACAAAGACAACTGAGGTTCCAGCCAGGTCCTGTCTTCTTGGGTCACAGAACAATGGCGGCCATTTCTCCCTCCCCACTGCCCGGTACTTTCTAAGTCTGGCTCTTTGCCATTGCCCCCCAACCCTCCAAGCCTTTGCCCAGTGCAGACAAATTCCCTGTTGTAAGCAAATTCCCTCACCTCTGAGCCTTCTCAGCGAATCTTTGCAGAGGCCACATCTCCACACACTGTCAGGGGTCTTTGATACAGGAAAGGCCGCGAATCACAGATCCAAAGGGGAAAAAATGTTCCCTGGCAAAAGCCTCGCCCGTGGCTCCACGACCTTTTAAGAAGTGCGCTCACCTGTGCTCACCTGTAGCCTTCCCGTGGCGCGTGGCCGCCCTGGAGAAGAGGCTCAGCTGGGGGAGAAGGCTGGTCACCGCCTGCCCTCTGCTGGCCAATGCTGGTATCGAGCCTGCTGACGCTCCACCAGTGCGTCGAATGAGGAGCAAACACTTCCTGAGCTCCGGCTGTATAGTCAGGCACTGAACTGGGCGTTGGAGTGTTAAGAATAAACGCGACATGCTCTCATGGAGTTCAAATTCAAATGAAGAGGCAGACAATGATCATATAGTCATTCAAACAAATATGAAATTACAACTGTGGGCTATGTGAGCGTATGACAGATATGAGGGTCCTGTCCAGTTTGGGGAGTGTGGTAGTATAGAGGGGTCGGGGGAAGCTGCCCCGAGGAGGGGACGTTTGAGTACCAGGTGCCTCACAAAGCCATTTCATGTAATGTCGAAAACCATGCAAGGTGGCTATTCCCTTTGACAGAGCAGAAAACAGCCGAGATTGGGGAAAATTTATCCGAAGTCACACGGCGAGCTGCAAGCAAAGTCAGGAGGATCTAGATCCACCGGATTCGAAGGGCCCCGCTTTCCCGGGGACTCTGGCAGTGCAGCAGGTGCGGGATATCCGCACGTGGCTCCTAACTGCTCTACGGCGCGGGGCGGGGCAAGGGTAAAATCGACATGGGGCGGAGCCTGAAGTCTGACCCCGCCCAAACTCTATAGGTGAAAGGGCGGCCATGGGCGTGTAGGCTGGGAGGGGGCGGGGCCTTTTCGGGGTTGGGGTGGAGCCCTCCCTTGACTCGTGGAAGGGGCGGAGCTGGGATCTCACCACGTCCAAAAGGAGCCGGAAGCGCCCAGTGAATGTGGGGCCTAGGGTACTTGACGGCTGACCCTGTGCACTCAGGTAGAGGCGGCGGCTCCGGGTCCCGGAGGTCCACTGGGCAGCTTCAAAGGTAGGGCCCAACCCGGGCCTGCGAGGAGGTACCTCTCTCCCCGTCCTGCTTTGCCCCGCCCACCCGTCTTGCCTTTCCACCCTCATTCCTTCCTGTTCTTGGGCCTGAGTCCATCTCCAGCCATCAAAAGGGAACTCTCAGAGGTTGTGGAACTCACTTCGCCATTGTTCCCGGCCCGGTGGCTGCGGGGGCAGCGCCAGACATCCAGAATGTGGAATTAGGAGTTAAGGAGATGTAAAAACCTTTCAGGAGAGGCCGGCCAACATTATCCCAGACTGTCTCACTGTCCTTGGGGAGGACACCCACCTTTTCTGGTCCTGGGTGTTCTCAGTTGCAAAACAGGGTTTGACTCTTGCCATGTGTGCCCTGAGACTGGCGTGGTCGGAAGGGGCAGCTGTGAAGGCCCCTGGGAACTGGGGTTGGTTTTCTCTCTTCCACAGCTATAGGAATTCTTATCCTCCTGTTCCCTCTGACCCTAGGTGGAGAGCCCTGCCCCAAATCTAGGAGCCCAGAAAAGCTGTAAGCTCCCACCCAGGGAAGCTCGTTCTGGCTTCCCTGAGTGGAGTTGTGTGCTGGCTTGGGAGGCCTGTGGATGTTCCCAGAGTGGGCTCTGAGGTTTGGGCACCCTGTGAGGCCTGCCTGGAGCCCACCTGCTCCCTTTGTAAACAGTGGGGCTACCATCAGGCAGGGCCTGAGTTAAGAAGTCTAAACTCTTAACTGTGGGTGGGACAGTGCATTGGAGTCTGACCTGTAGGGCTGTCAGGACCAGCCTGGGTAAGTGGGGTGTCACAATGCCAAAAAAGAAGCTGCTGCTGATAGGTGACTTGTATGGGCATTTGCTGCATGCTGGCGCTTTACACAAATTATGTCATTAATTACTCATGCATCCCTTCTGTCACCCCCATTTCGGGGGCTGAAACTGAGGCTCAGAGAGATGAAGAGACTTGCCCAAAGTCACAGCTAGTACATGTCAGGGAGGGATTAGAATCCAGACAGTCTGGTGCCTAACCCACAGTTAGACCCATCCAGGAACTAGGCATCCAGTAATAAAGCTTTCACCTAGGACCACAAGAGGAGAAAGGAGCCGCTGGATGAGCAGGAGATTGGGGAGTAAGATTCAGAGGGTTTGGGTGGGGTACTCATGGGGCCTGACTGAGGTTTTGGTGTGGGGGTGGGGAGGTGAAGTGTTTGATTTTAGACATGTTAGTTTGGGGTGCAGGGTGGCATAGGGGAGCCGTGCAGAGCTCCCCTCCATCTGGAGAAGAACAAGGAGGCAGAGCTGGGTTCTGGGGAGAGGAGATGCCTTCAGGGATGGGTGCAGGCAGAGGAGGGAAGTCCAGGGCCTGACTGGCAGGAGTCCCTCCAAATGCTGAGCAGGCAGATGTGGGGGCCCGCACTCGGGTGGGGGAACAGATTGAGGAGTGGATTCTAGGCTGAGAAGGGTTTGACAAATTGAGGCTTTGTTTTACAGAGGGGAAACTGAGGCCAGCAAGGTCCTTTGCCTGAGGACACCCCATGGGTGGATCAGCGTAGGACCCAGGGCCTCCAGGGGTGACACCTCTGTCATTAAGCTCCTTCTGTTACCTCAGTGGCTCTCAACCAAGGCCAATTTTGACAATGTTTGGGGACAATCTGATTGTCACAACTGGAGGGAGGGTACCATTGGTATCTGAGGGGTAGAGAGCAGGAAAGCTGCTAAACATTTTACATTCCCCCCCCAACAAAGAATGGTCCAGCCTCAAATGCCACTGATGTCCAAGCTGAGAGACCCTGTACTAAGTGGAGCTGAGTGTGACATGCCTCCACCTCCCACCCCCTTCCTCTGCCCACCCCACCCCCCTTTGTCCTCAACAAGGCTGGTCGCTCAGGCTTGGGCCTCCAACTGGACAGACCTTTGCTCCCATCTCTGGCCTGCCCCTCCCAGGATTGCTCCTTTATTCCTGGAAGCTTGTAGAGTCCTCTCTGCTTTTTCCTGGGCACAGTGGTCTAGAGTCCTACCCACCACATGTCTGCCCTTGTTGGTCTGTCTGTCTCCCCAGACCTATATTCACAGAGTCTGGTGTTAGGCAGGAGGAAACCAAAGTGGAAATATTCACATAGCATAGAGTAGGTGCCTTGCAGATAAAATATCTATTAAATTGGAGTGATGTGTTGAGGGTCCAGAGAGCTTCACTGTATCCCAGTTTTCTCTTTAGCAATTGAAATTGTACCTTATGTGTTTGAAGCTCCACACTGCCCACGAGCTCCCAGGTGACTCTGGGGCTGCTGGGCGGGGACTGCCCATCGAAGGCAAGATGCTGCCAGGCTGTGTGAAGAGGGCCTGGGCTGGGCTGCCCTCTCTGCAGACAACTGTGTTGTCGCTGGGGACTGTGGAGTGGAAGGAACCATGGTACCGAGTCAGGAAACCAGGGTATGAGTCATCACTCCCTCCCCCCATCGACGGCTTCTTAGCTTACTAGAGTTTGGAGAAGTCACTTAACTTCTTTGAGGGGTGGTCTTACATGGCAGGCGGTCTTCCAGGGATTCTGATTCAGGGCCCTAGAGAGGAAAGTGCCCTGGGGAGGTGGGTGGCCTGTGTCCTGGCATCCAGAGGGGCCATGGGCCATGGGCCTGGCCAGCAGGGAGGACAGTGAGCTGAAGCCGGCAGGCGGGCACCATGCCAGTGTGGAGGCGGCTCCCACTTGGGCTCTGGCTTTTCTCTGTGGCTGCCATGGCCTCCTGTTTCTGGCTCACCCAGCTGCACCTGGCGTGGGAAAGCTGGAGAGACCAGTCTGGCTGGGAGGAGGAGGAGCCAGCCCAAGGCCTGAATGTGGGTCTGAGGACGACGGGGGGGGGGGGGGGGGGGGGGGGGTCAGGCTGAGAATAATGGCCTGGAGACACTGGGGTCAGCTGTGGGCCGTGGACGGACTTCCCACCCCTGGAAGGAAACTGGGAAGGACTCTGGAGTTTGAAGTCTTAAACTGGGAGCTCCCCCCACCCAGAGCTATAAGAGATGCCCTGCCTCAAGCCTCTGACCCCAGGAGTAGAGCTAGGCAGAGCCTTGGGTACCTGGGGTCCTCCCATCCCTGGTTCCTCACAAATCAGCCATAATGGACCAGCAAGACCCCTTCCAACTCCTAGGACCAAGAGGCAGCAAGACGGCTGAACCCATTTCTCAGACGGACAAATTGAAACTCCTGCCTCCCCATTTCCTTGGAAGATACCAGTCTTTAGGGCTGTTGCCTCTTCCCCAGAATGGGCAAGGGCCTGATACATCATGAGGCTGCCCACCCCTGACCCCAGGGAGGGGTGCCCACCTCCTCTTCCTTCTCCTGTTCCCACAGCTGGGCCTTCCTGGTGGCTCACACCAGGGTTCTGCGACCCCAGGCTCCAACCCAGGTTCCTTTCCTTCCTGGTCAGGAGATCCTAGGCCAGTCCCTCCACCACTCCTGTTTGTCAACAGGAATAATGACACCTGTTCGGCCAGCCTTGTAGGTTGTTGTGAAGAGAAAATGTGCCATCATTGAACGCTGCGGCCCTTATTACTCATGGCATTTAGAGGCTCAGGGAACCCCGGACTGCCTTACCCTGTGCCCTCATTTGACAGATGTGGGCACCTGGAGCAGGGACGCAGCTGTCCAGGCATCCCCTGGCCCGTCAGTGGGTGAGCCAGAGCTAGGACCCACGTCTACAGGCGCCTCCCGTCCCGACTGCTGCCTGTCTCCGAAGGTGTTCCGAGGGCAACACATCGTAAGTCTGGGAGCCCTGGGGTCCGGCTGCAAAGCCTCTCTGCAGAGGGAGGGGGACCGGGCCTTGGTCCCAGCACCGCCTGCCTCCCTTTGCCAGCCCCAGCCATGAACTACGTGGGTCAGCTTGCGGGGACCGTGTTTGGGACAGTGAAGGAGCTGTACCAGGGCCTGAACCCAGCCACACTGAGTGGTTGCATCGATGTGCTGGTGGTGGAGCAGGTGGACGGCTCCTTCCGGTGCTCGCCCTTCCACGTGCGCTTCGGCAAGCTGGGTGTCCTGCGGTCACGGGAGAAGGTGGTGAGTGCTGGCGGCCACTGCTGGGCAGGCTTTTGAAGCCAGGGTGGCCACTGCAGTCCTGGGAGAAAGTCCAGGTCTCCTGTAGGTGAGGCTCTGTCCTCTGGACAGGCCTCCCTTCTTTTGTATTTTCTTGGATGGCTTGGGGTTGGTTTGGGGTTTGGGACCGAGAGGATCCCTGTTTTCCCCCTGGAAGCAGCGCAGTGGAGTCCGACCTGGCTCTAGCTTACTGAGAGCCTACCTGTGGGGCCTTGGTAAGTTGCTCCACCGGCGCAAATGGACACGCTTTCAACTGTCTGGTGATTGAACAGGTAGGAGCCGATGACACCATCCCTGGGCCAGGCCTGTGGGTGACACTCAGGCGTCATTCCTCCCCCAGGAAAACTGCGCTGTGGTCCCTGAGCTCAGGCAAATAGGACAGAGTTTTCAGTTAGCACTGAGGTCTGGTGTGTGACGGGGTTTGACACACTGAGGTGGCCGCGAACTTCCAGAATCCAAACAGGACAGCGTAACCGTGTGGGAGGCAGTGCAGCTGAGCAATTAAGAGCTTGAGTTGTGAACCCGGACTCTGGGTTTATAGCCTCATTTGGCTACTTCCCAGAGAGTTACTTAACCCCTCCCAGCCTCAGTGTCCTCACCTGTAAAGTGGGGCCAACAACAGGAGCTCCTACAAGGGAAGGTTGTGAAGAATAACCAGGACAGTCCAGATAAAAGGCAATTCTACGTGCCCAGGAGATGGTAATTCCTACCGCGGTCAGTGCACTCACCAAGTATTTGTGCCCTGTCCTGGGCTGGGGACTCAGCAGTGACAAGAGGAATCACATCCTTGTCCTTACGGGGAGAGAGAGGAACACAGAAACCAAGGCACAAACAAGACCACCGCGGCCATGATCGTGCAGCGGAGCCTGGGGCACCGGGACATGGGGAAGGCAGTTCTAGCACACGCAGGGCTGGGGGGCAGCAGGGGGCCTGTGCACCCCAGTGGACCGGAGTGCGGCAGCGAGAGCAGGTGGTGGGGGTCACACACCCCTTTCCCCATCATGCCTCATTGCAGGTAGACATCGAGATCAATGGGGAGCCCGTGGACTTGCACATGAAGCTGGGGGACAGTGGGGAGGCCTTCTTTGTCCAGGAACTGGAGAGTGATGAGGTAGGTGCCTGCCCCTTCACTAGTACCCCCTCCGGGCAGGGCCTTGGGGTTCGTCACTGTCCCCGGCCCTGGGAGTACCCCATCAGTGAGGGTCTGAGTTGCTGCTGGCATTCACGATATGCTGTTGGATATCATATTCATGATATGCTGGGTAGAATTTGATGGGGGGGGATTGGAAGGGGCAAGGGCTTTCTTCCCAGGGAGGAAGTTGGGGGAAGTGTCTCAGAAGAGGATACTCGAGCTGGTCCCCTGAAGGGTGAGATGGAGATCTCGGAGGGGAGGGGTGCTGAGCAGCCTGGGGCTGGAAAACATAAGAAGGCTTGTTCAGGATCGGAAGCCAGCTCCGTGCAGCTGGAATGTGGAAGTGTGTGGGTGGGGGGTGAAAAGAGGGGTGTTTGCAGGAGGGAGGCAGGCCCCGCACAAACAGCAGCGGTATTTAAATAGTTGACCGAGCCCCTACTGTATACCAGACAGTGCGGTAGACTCGGATGAGGGGTGACACCTGCCTTCAAAGACGGTTCCCAGTCTCGTCTGAGAGTCAGACACATAAACAGCAGTGGGTGATGAAACTCTTTGATCGCTGCAGCGAAGGGGGTTGGACTGACGCTCACGATGGTCAGGGTAAACTTCCTGGAGGAGGTGACGCCTGAGTCTTAAAAGAGAAGTAGGTGTCGACTGAGGTGGGTGTGGGCAGAGAAAATGGGAGGCCGATGGCCAGATTTCTGCCCAGTGTGGTTCACGCAGCTCCTGGGGCTGAGGCTGCTTCATCTCTGAGGGAGCTCGGAGGCCAGCAGCAGGCACCTCTGTCCGGCCTCCGGGCCTCTTTTCCTGACCCCAGTGGGCCTGGAGATTCGGGCGGGGCCAGAACTAGACAGGGATTAGTTCCCGAGCTGCCAGGCACATAGAACTGCCTTTTATCTGGACTGTCCTGTTTAATCTTCACAACCTCCCCCTGTAGGAGCTCCTGTCTAGTTCAGCCTGAGCCGCCAGGCGTGGGGAGCAGCCCTCCCAAGCTGGGGCCCCGCAGGCCTGCCATCCCCCCGGTTTTCTCCACAGGAACAGGTGCCTCCCCGCCTGTGCACATCGCCCTTACCCTGGGGGGGGCTGTCTGGCTTTCCCTCGGACTCCCAGCTGGGTACAGCCAGCGAGCCCGAGCCCATCGTCTTGCACCTGGCCTCCACGGGGAGGAAAAAGAAGCTTCGGAGGAGGAAAGCGAGGCGGAAGGAGGACACCGTGGCCGACGATTCCAGTTCTGAGGACCTGGAGGCAGGCGCTGAGAGTGAGCCGTCCCCGCTGGAAAAGCCGAGGCCGGAGCCCCCAGGGTGTGTGGGGACCAGGTGGGGGCCGAGGGTGGGAGGATGCCAGTGGGGTTCAAGCACTGATTGCCATACTGGGGCTGAGTGACCCTGGGCAGGGGGCTTAACCTCTCTGGGCTTTAGTTGCTTCACCTCCCCAAGCCCCTGATGTCCAGGGCCCCACGCCCCGTCCACTGAACATTCATTTCAATGTGGCCCCTCAGCAGTATCCAGTCGGAGGGGGAGTGCCCGTCACAGCCCGCAGACATCCACCCCTACTCCGATGGCGAGTGGCCCTCCCAGGCCAGGTGAGAGTCCCAGTGGGCTGCAGGCGGGGCCTCGAGGCCAAGGTCTCAGAGGAGTTTCCATTCACAGTTTTCTAATAAATAATGACTTAGGACACCACCTAATGTCTCTACCAGCCACTCGTATATCTCCTTTGTAAGGTGTTGAAATCTTTTGCCCAATTAAAAAAAAAAGAGGAGGTAAAATGCACATAGCATGAAATTTACCATTTTAACCGTTGTGAACGTGTGCCATTCAGTGCGTTTAACACATGCCCAGCACTGTGCCACCGTGGAGCACAATCCCTGTCTAGTTCTAGAACTTCTCCATCCCCCAGACGGAAACCCTACACCCACGAAGCATCACAGACTTGCCCCTCCCCCCGTTTTTAACTGGACTGCCTTCTCATAGTTGATTCGTAGGTGTTCTTTGTATGTTTGTGTATTCTGGATCCAACACAGACGTAAATATGTGTTGCGAACATTGTTTCCCGGACTGGGGTGGGCAGCGGGCTGGCTTGGGGGCGTCTGAGTTCCTGCTTCCTGCAGCCTTTCGTCAGGCGGGCTGACGTCCCCCAAGAGTGACTCGGAGCTGGAGGTGAAGACCCCCGAGCCCAGCTCCCTGAGAGCTGAGTCCCACATGCAGTGGTCCTGGGGGAGACTGCCCAAGGTGAGTGCCTGCACGTCACCCCCCATCCCTGCCTTTCAGGGGCCCTGTGGCCCCTGCGGGGAAGGACTGGAGTAACTGAGACTTGGGCCACTTCCCCAAGGCCTTGTGGGGTGTGGGAGGCAGGCCCTGCATCGGCCTGGCCCCCAACCTTCCCCATTTGTTTGACTAAAGGTGGCCAAAGCTGAGTGGCCCATGTCCTCGATGGCCCCTGATGACAGCACCCGGGCAGCCTCACCTCCTCCGGGAGAGCCCAGCACCCCTGACCTCCGGCCTGACACAGAGGTGCCCGCTCCGGTGGGCCCCCCTCTCCTTGCCCCCGAGGGGGAAAAAACCAACGCGCAGAGGTCCAGGGAGGCAGGCCTCTCTCCTGCCTCAAAGTCATGGAGCTGGGCCGGTGTGGAGGGGCTGGCCCCCACAGCGCAGCCAGAGGGGGTCTCGAGCAGGAAAGGTGAGTGACGGCTGGATGCCCCCCAGTGCTTCCCTGGGCTTGCGCTACCTCCTGGGTGGGCTCTGGCACATCAGGCATGTTTGGAGCATCTACTGTGTGCCAGGCGCTGTGTTTGGCACCAGACCCACAGGGCTCGAAACCCAGTGGGGCAGACAGATGGTGCATGCACAGCCAGGAAGCGGGGTGACAGGGGACAGAACACTGGGTGGGGTGGGGGCGGTTTACACCATGTGTAAAACAGGTATGGTACGGCGAGGTCAGGTTAGGCCTCTGTGAGTGGGCGATGTTCGAGCTGAGACGTGAACAATGAAGACCTACCAAGTGAGGATCAGGGAAGGAGAATTCTAGACAGAGGGATGGCATGTGTCAAGGCTGTGAGGAAGGAGAATTTCACGTCTGGGAACGGAGGCAGCTGGTGTGTCTTGAGCAGGACAGGAGGGAGAGGGTAGGAGAGGGAGATGGAGACACAAGTTCCTGGTCCCCTAGCTGGGCTTTGTCCTGAGCGCCGTACCACCCCAATCAGTAGCCACGAGCTACTTGTGGCTATTGAAAGTTAAAATCAAGCCACCTCTAAAACCATATTTCCCCATCACACCACATTTCAAGTGCGCCCATGCTGGACGTGCAGACCGAGGGCATTTCTATCACTGTAGAAAGTCTACCAGAGAGCAGTGCTTTTGGGCGTTCACAGGCAAGGGGCCACGTACTGCCCACGCTACTGAGTGTGTGTCAGGTCTACAGATGCGCCCCCCTCTGTCCCCAGGCTCCGTGAAGAGAAGCCAGCATCTGGGCCCCAGTGACATCTACCTGGAAGACTTATCCTCCCTGGATTCTGAGAACGCGGCCCTTTACTTCCCCCAGAGGTGCCTGTGCTCTGGGTGCCAGGTGTCTCGGGATGGGGCCCATCGGGCCAGGGGTTGGCTCTCAGGGGCTCGGGAGGGGGCAGGCCCCTCCTGCCAGCCTCCTGGTATTCATGTCATTGTTGGCCCTTCCCCCTGCCCCCCGCCCTCCAGTGACTGTGGGCTGGGAGCCAGGAGGTGGAGTGAACCCAGCAGCCAGAAGATGCTGGGGGACCCCAACCCTGAACAGGAGCCAGAACTCACCCTGGACGCAGTGGGTGCGATAGCACTGTCCCTCTGTGGTGGACTGGCTGACAGCCGGGGCATTTCCCAAGGTATGTCCGACCACGAGCCCTTCTGCAGACGGGAGCCTGGGGCCGGGCGGGCAGCAGAGGCATGAGGCCGGCCAGGCGCCCCCGCCTGTGGAGCCCATGCTCAGCCAGCAAGCGTGGGCATTCCCAAGGCCTCATGAATCAAAGCTTGATTCTTAGCTGTGACTTACCCTGTGGATCCAGGATGGCCAGTGCCCGGGGTGGGAGCAGCAGGTGCAAAACCACAGGAAGGGAGGGGCCCCATGGGAGGCCTGAGGGGTAGGGGCGTGGAGGTACCAGGAGAGGCGGGGCGGTGGGTCACCCGTGAGGTGTCGGCCTACCCCCTCACACTCTGCCCTGTGCCCAGAGAAGTTCAACAAGCACATAGTCTCCTACCAGGACCTCGCCCACAACCCTGGCCTCCTAGACGACCCTAACCTGGTGGTGAAAGTCAACGAGAAGTAAGTACCAGGGCCGGGCTGCTGGCCACCACAGAGGGTCACCCTGCCCCCTCCATGGCCCTGCAGCTCCTGCAGCACTGACGCCGTGCTCTGTCCCTCCAGGCACTACAACTGGGCTGTAGCCGCCCCCATGGTCCTCTCCCTGCAAGCCTTCCAGAAGAACTTGCCCAAGGTAATGGTTTGAGCATCAGTGGGCCTCCTGTGGGAAGTGGCCACAGCCTTAGGAGGCCCTCAGCCAGAAAGTGGAGGGTGGGCAGTGATGGGCCTGGGGCTGACTGGCTGCAAGACCCACTCTGGGAGAGGAGACCACGGTCCCCCTGAAGCCTCCCCCATGCCGTGTGGACAAAGCCACACCCTTCCCTGGCTTCCTGGCTTAATCAGATCCCACTGGATCAGGACTTTACTCCAAAGGAGCTCAGGACAAACCAGGTGGGGACACACGTTCGCCAGGGACATGCCTTCAACGGGAGGCTGCAACCTGGGAGACGAGGCTTGGGAGGCGGGGTCCCAGTCCTCACCTGACCCTGCGAACCTCTCCGGGCTGGGCTGCGGGTGCTCTTGCTTTGTCAGCACATGTGTCGTGCGCCTCCTGTGTGTCAGGGACAGTCGTGCCCTCAAGGAAAGCCAGTTAATCAAAGACTCCGCCAGGTGAATGTAAAGTTCACCGCAGGCATTGGGACGGGGAGGTCTGGGATGCTGCGAGAGCCTGTGGCGGGGAGGCTGGCTGAGCAAGTGCCGACTAGGCAGAGATCGTAAGGGTGAGGGAGCCTTAAGCAATCGGGAGGCAGGAACAGCCTGTACAGGTGCTCAGAGGTGGGAAGGAATCCAGCCTCTTCAGTCCCTCCCAGAACCTCCACCCAGCGCTGACCTGCCCCTGCCCCTTCTGCCCTTCTGGAAGTGGTCCAGGGCCCTGCCCTGGTCTGTTGTTCTCCACTTGACTAGAGTTGCCCAAAGGACATCACTAACCAGATGTAGACCGCTGGTGCCTGCCTTTGGTGATGCCCAGCTCCGTCCTCTGGCTGGCTCTGGGTCTGAGCTGGGACCACAGCCTGTGGGAAGGAAGGGGGTCACTCTTCTGCCTGGCTGTCCTCACCTGGACAGACACACCACTGAGGCCCCTGGGAGATACATCTGGCCTGTTCCCAACCCAAGTGGGTGCCCTGGCCAACCCACCCCAAGCCTATGTCCTCCTGACTAGGGGGCACCATTCTGTGTGTGTAGGAAGCACAAATCTAGTCAGTATTTCTCACCAGGTCATGCTGCCCCCACCGGGCAGTAATGGTAACACATAGAGGCAGCTGTTCATGGGAATCACCGACCTCAGGAGTTGCCCGTGTTGGTCTCAGAGGTTGAGGGGAGTGCTAGCTATCGATTGTCCTTCCTGCTGCCACTTGGTGGCCTCATGCAGGGAGTACGAGATCTTGAGAAACTCCCACTCACAAGATTGGGAGGCCAGGCCCAGGTTGGGCAGAGGTCAGGGGTCGGGGTCAGGGCTGGGATGGAGCGGGGCTGGGCAGGAGTGGGCCTTGGTGTCCCGTGTGAGTCACGGGAACCCCAGGATGGAGGTGGACATGCTTCCTTAGCCTCCAGAGGTGGGCAGCGCCTTGCTGGTGGTCAGCCTGAGACTCTGGGCTCATGGTGGCCCCGAGGGCAATCGGAGGTGAATGCCATGGCCTTTCTCTGCCCCCAGAGCACTGTGGACAAGCTGGAGAAGGAGAAGATGCCCAGGAAGGGTGGGCGGTGGTGGTTTTCCTGGCGACGCAGGGACTTCCCGGCTGAGGAGGTGGGTGGTTTTGGTCACAGGGCGGGGCCGGCCCAGACAGGAGCTGGTTGTTCACTAGATGAAATGTTCATCCCGCAGCAAAGTGCCCAGAGCGAGAAGAGCATGGCCAGGGAGCCGAGGGGGTGAGTTGATCTCCTGGCTGGGAGCCGGGGAGGCCTGCCCTCGGAGGGTAGGGCGGAGCCAGCACCCCACCCCAGCTGTGGTTCGTGGTCACTGCCCAGTCACTTCTACAGCCTTCCTTTTCCCTGAGAAATGCCCCCATTTCACAGATGGGGAAGCTGAGACTTGGAGATACACCAAAGGTCCCACAGCCAAGAAATGGCAGAGCTGGGAGGCCCAGACAGGGGGCTTCCTCACAAAGGGCAGCAGGGCCCCCCCCTCTGCCTGGGGCCTGCGGACCGTGCTTCCTTTTTACTTATGAACTGACCCAGAATGGCCAAGGTTGGGGTTGAGGGGACATGGGTGATCAAGGATGAGTCGGCGGAAGCCAAGGCAGGTGAGGTTGGGAATAATCCTAAAATACATTTCTAGGTTTTCTGGTAAACATCTCCAAGTCAGGCGCTGGCACCTTGGCTGTAGAGCGATGCCAAGGGCTGACAGCTCGGGAGCCTCAGCACCGGCTCTGCCGTGGTCTTTCTGGGTGTAGACCACCAGCCCGAACCCTGCCTGCTACCACCTAGAGGGTGGTACCTAGAGCGGGGGGCAGGGACAGGCCTGGGCTCCGTGTGGCCTGGGATGAGGGGTGTCTGCTGCAAGTGCGGGGTCTGTGGTGGGAAGAGGGCTCCTGAGAGCTGGGCTGCCCGCAGGGAGAAGGCGGATGTCCTGAGCAGTGAGGATGATGCGCCAGACAGCCCTGTGATCCTTGAGGCTCCCTCCCTGCCACCCTTGCCTCCAGCCTACACGCCTGCCTACAAGAAGTCCCTCCGCCTCTCCTCCGACCAGATCGTAAGTGTGTGCGCAGATGTGTTTGTGTGCAGATGAGGGTGAGGGGGTGCATGGTGATAACTCTGTCCCAGAGCCCTACAGGGCCCGGAGAAGGAATGGCCCCATAGAGCCAGGCATTCACCAAAGCCCAGGATCCATCCCCTTTGTCCACCTCCGTAACAGCCCCTGCTTGAATACCTCCAGGGGCAGGGGGCTCACTTCTTTACATGCCAGCCCACTTCTCTCTATCCAGTGCTCTCACTGGAAAAGCCCTCTCTATGCCTGAAATACTGACCTGCAGTGGGTCGGCTGGCCCTGGGCCTGTCCTGGAAAGCCACATGAAAGGACTCCAGTGTTGAGGACAGGCCTTCAGACTGGCCTGAGTCACGTCTTCGCACTCAGTAACTGGTGGCCCATCAGAAGAATGCTTTCTCCCCAAGTGTGACCCCCTGAGTGTGGTCAGGGAGGTGCCCGAGGGACCCGGCCAGCCTGGTGCCGAGCAGCTGCCCCGTGCGGGACGCCAGGGCTCACCCCAGCCATGGCCAAGTGCTGCCCTGATCCGTCTCTGTGGACCACGGGCAGGGCCAGGGTCTCTTTCTGCAGGACGCCACAGCTACACAGCTACCCCAGCCCCTGTGATGGCCCCTACAGGACCCCTGCCATGTGGTGGGGTGTCTCCCTGCCTAGGGCAATGCCAACCCCAGGGCTGATCTGAGAAATGTCAGCAGGAGCCACAGGCCAGGGCTTGGGCCCCGCAGCACCCCTCCCTCCCTCCTTGTGGACACCCTCTGCCCACATGGGTGTGTCTGTGTGTGGCTCTCTCTGCTGGGTTGGCAGGTACTCTGAGTCGGGAGGGAGGGGAGAGCGAGGGGCCCAGCTGGGGGCTGAAGGCCACTGTGTGGGGTGGCAGGGGGCCCGGCTGCGGCAGATCACAGCTCCCCATCTCTGCCCGGCCCCAGCGACAGCTGAACCTGCAAGAAGGTGCCAACGAGGTGGTCTTCAGCGTGACAACCCAGTACCAGGGCACCTGCCGCTGCAGGGCCACCATCTACCTATGGAGGTGGGATGACAAGGTGGTCATCTCGGACATCGATGGCACCATCACCAAGTGAGGCTGGTTGGTGGGGGAGGGGAGGCCTGGAAACTTGCCTCCCTCTGTGCTAGGGGACAGGGGAGAGGCCCTCCCGGTGCACCTTGCTGGGGCTGGGAGTGGGCCCCGTATGTGGAATGTGAGGGCCACATGCAGCTGCCTTGGAGTGACCTCCCCCTGGGATCCAGGTCCGATGCTCTGGGCCACATCCTGCCCCAGCTGGGGAAAGACTGGACACACCAGGGCATCACGAGCCTCTACCACAGAATCCACCTGTGAGTGCCAGGGCTGTGGCTGGGCAGGGCCCTGGGGGGCGGTGCCAGGACACCTGAAGTTACCATAGCCTTGGCCCTGGGAAGCCAGGCTTGGGGACCAGTGGGTCCCACAAGGGAAGCAACCAGGCCATGGCCAGGAGAGGAGACCCGCCTACTGGGCCTCGGCTTGTGGTCTGGGATCAGAGTCTAAACGCTGACCTTCAGGCGGCAGAGGAAGTCTACAGACTTGCTCAGGTCCTTACCCACCTCGGTCCAGCCTGGCCCAGTGGTTCTCCCTACGTCCCCTCCCTGCAAAGGCTTCTGGGTTTGGAGGCTAGAGCCCCTGGCTTGGGCTGAGCTGGCTGAAACCAAGGGGACAGGATGGGTGATGGCTGGTCCCTCATGGCTCTGTGCCACCTGTCCCCCACCCCCAGAAACGGATACAAGTTCCTGTACTGCTCAGCACGGGCCATTGGCATGGCAGACCTCACCAAGGGGTACCTGCAGTGGGTGAGCGAGCGGGGCTGCGGCCTCCCCAAGGGCCCCATCCTGCTATCTCCCAGCAGCCTCTTCTCCGCCCTGCACAGGTAATCCCCCTACAGGATACGAGCCCACACCTGTGGGGGCATTGCGGGCCCAGTGCCAGCCCAGCACAAGGCCTGTGTCCCCTGACCCTGCCATCCACTGATGGCTGCCCCTCCTCGGCTGCCTTCCCTGACCGTGGCCCTGGCTCCCCAGGGAGGTGATTGAGAAGAAGCCAGAGGTGTTCAAGATCGCCTGCCTGAGCGACATCCAGCAATTGTTCCTGCCTCAGGGACAGCCCTTCTATGCCGCCTTTGGGAACAGGCCCAACGTGAGTGTCCCCTCCCCAGGGCTGAGGCACCCTCTCCCTGCCGTCCAGCCCACCAGCCTCTCCCTGTCTCCCAAAGGATGTCACTGCCTACCGGCAGGTGGGCCTCCCAGAATCTCGAATCTTCACAGTCAACCCCCGGGGAGAGCTCATCCGGGAGCCCATGAAGAACCACAAATCCACGTGAGGCCAAACCCTGCCATGTCCCCACGCTGCAGCCTCCCCTGGGCCCCCATTCCACTGCCCCACCAGGGACTCTATTCCTTGCCCACGGCTCCCCGCACTGTGCAGTCCCTGCCGATGTGACTGAGGCCGTGGCCTGGTGGTGGCTCAGGCTCTCAGTACTGGCCCTGCCCTGCTCATAGGTACGAGCGGCTCGGCGAGGTGGTCGAGCTCCTCTTCCCGCCCGTGGCCCGTGGCCCCAGCACAGATCTGGCCAACCCTGAATACAGCAACTTCTGCTACTGGCGGGAGCCACTGACCACTGTGGACCTTGACGCCCTGGCCTGAACCTGCCCTGGCTGCCCCCTCCTCCCTGGCCTGGCCCAGAACCAACTGGGTGTCCCAGAGCACAGGGGTCAGCAGCTGGGCGCTGCGGGAGCAGCCTGACAGGGAGGACGGGGCTGAGGGCTGGCTGGCAGTCTCTCTCCTCCCTGCTGTTGCCTCTGCCAGCTGAGCTGCAGGGCTGGGGCAGCTGCTCCAGGATTCAGTGTGGCCCTGGCCTGTGGCCATTAAATGATCGTCACCTAGGCTCTTGTGGTGTTCTTCATGCCGTGACATCTCTGTCCCTGTCACTGTGGGACTTCACCTCAACTCCTGACAGGACAGAGAGAAGAGGGAGGCCCCACTGGGGCTTGAGAGCTACAGGCTCGGGGAAGGCTGGTGGCGGCGTGAGGAGTGAGCACATTAGCATCTGGGAAGAACGCGATGCTCCCCCCGCCCCCTTCGGGGAGCCTGGACCGTCCGTGCCCTCTGCGGCCAGACCCTTACGTAGCCCTGGCCCCTTCCCGAAGCTCGTGAGCCAGACGCCTCAGCACGTCCCCTGAGGATGCAGCCCCAAACCCTGCCAGACAGGTGGAGGTTGGCCTGCTGCCCTCTCCTCGCCTTTGCTGGTCAGTTCAGTGTCCACACAGCTGCTGAGCCAGCTCCTGCCCAAGGAGCTGCGGGAAGCAGGGCTGACACCCCGTGGCAGCCTCCCCGCCCCCAGCAGCACCACTGGAGAGGGCAGATACCCTTTGGAGAGGCTAAAAGCTTTAATGCACGCCTGCCCTCCCCCAGTAGCACCGCAGTGGAGGGCAGAATACCAGATGTCGAGAAACGAGAAGGCAGGGCTACAGGGACCTGCAAGACAGCAGGGCAGGGCCTGTGCTGCTGCAGGGAAACTGAGGCCAGGAGCCTCGGCAGAGAATCGTGTCTGGGTCTCTGGGACTGCACAGGCCAGACGAACACCTGCATCTGTAGACTGTCCTTGGCAGTGTCCTACCTGCACTTCTCGTGACCTCGCGGTCACCCGGTTTGCAAGGATGTTTGAAACCAGGCCGGGAGCCCTCTCCTTCCAGTCGTGGCCTCCAGCCCAGGGCCTGGCCTCATTCAGACCGTGAGGCCTAACGATTTCCCCTGAATGGGAAGGAGAGGACTGTGGGGACCAGAGTGCCCTGAAAACATCTTTGGGGAAGAGAAGGAAAAGCATCAGTTGGCAGGGAGGGGATTCTCCAAACAGATTGCCTGGACCCACTGCCCTCCTCTGGGAATGTACAGCTGCCTGAGCCCTCACCTTGAGGGAGGACCAACCATAAGGAATACAGAGGACGCTGGGCTGACCTGTGTTTCTGCACCGTCCTGAGGGTCTTTGGGGCGGTGGAGACCTCTGGTCCTTGGTTCAGAAACAGCACCTGTGAAACTGCCACGTGTGAGGACAGTGCCACTGGTGGCACCGTCCTGCAGGCACTGAGCCCAAGTGGCTGGGGAGAAAAGCTGAGGGGACAAAGGACCAGAGGCCTCCATGGGGCCCACCTATGGCCTGTGGGCAGGGGGAGCCGTGGGCAGGCCGGTGTCTGAGTCGGCACAGGCGCCGACTCGTGTGTCCGCAGAAGAGCAATCGGTAAACCGGATCGTGAGGTCTCTTGGGTCTACCCTGGCCTTCAGGCTTGTCATACCCACCTTGACCGCTATCCTGAACTGTCCAGCTGGTGCAGCACTGAGCACATGGGTATTAATGTCAGATAGTCACATGGAGCTGGACCAAGACGGTGCCTTCAGTGGCCTCTGAAGAGGCATCTATGCTGACCAGAGGCTGGGAGGCGTGGTCTGGGATCTGGGGTAATATCCCCAGGATTAGTGGGATCTGGGGCTTGGGTCCTGTCCAGCCCACCTAGTTGGCCTGCCGGGGCCGCGCCTGCTCGGCCAGCTGGGCCCGGCAGTCTAGAAGGTCATCCCGGAGACGGGCGATGTCCTGTGCGTGCTGGGCCAGTGTGCGGTTCAGCTGGTCCACGTGGCCCCATAGGCCTTCCCTGGGCCTGAGCGACTCCGTGGGCAAGCTGTCCAGGTCAGCAGCCATCAGGCCCAGCTTCCCACACACACCCTCCACATGTGCCACCCTCTGGTCAAAGTGGCCCACTGCGTGCTGGAGTTTCTGGGCAGTGTCCTGGCAGCGGCTCAGCCCGCCAGCCACATCGGCCACACCGGCCTTGAGCTGCTCCAGCTCTCCCCGAAGGCTCAGGACCTGCCGGTGGCCAGCGCGGAGCCGTGAGCCTTGGCTGCTGACCTGCTCCTGGATAGCGTGGACCTCAGCCTCCACCTTGCGTTCCCGTTCATCCAGGGACATATTGGTGGCCAAGAAGGCGTCAGAGTACTGGCTGACGGAGTCACTGAGGCCTGTGAGTGACTTGCTCACTGAGTTCAGGTTGACCTTGAGCAGGGTGATCTCGCCCTGGAGTGAACTGCCCGTCGCTTCTGCCAGCTGCCCCTGGACCTCGGCCACGGTGCCATTGAGCTGCTGGAGCAAGGCCGTGTGGCTGGTCACCTGGTGCAGAAGGGCCTCAGTCTGGCTCTGCCAGGCCCTCACCTCTGCCACGAGGTTCTTCAGGACGGCCGAGGTGGTGCTGGGGGTGCATGAGGTCTCCAGCGAGACCAGCCGTTGCTCCAGCACGGCCAGCTCCGTCTGCACCAGGGGCCGTGCAGACCTGCCTGGTGGGGTGCCGTCGTGGCTCAGCTCCCTGGCCAGCGTCAGCAGGCGCTCCTCCAGGCTCTGCACACGCTCCTCCAGCGTGGTCCTGAAGCTGCCCGCACCCCATTCCCCCTCCTTCATCCCCAGACAGCAGCCCCTCCCTCCACTCTCTGTCCCATTGAGGGTCTCCAGACCCTCGAGAAATCCATCCACACCCCCCTGCAGCATGGCAGCAGAGAGCCGAGTGAGCTCATCCCTGGTGGTGGGTCCGTGGCCCCTTTGGGCCTCAGTGACGGCCTGCAGGCTCCTCTCGAGGCCGTCTACACGGGCACTGATCAACGCTAGCTGGCTGCAGCAGCTGCCCCCGCCAGCCACACTCAGGCCCTGCAGCCGGGTCCCCAGCTGTGAGAGCTCCCGACGCAGGGCCAGCTCCCGGCCATCCAGGCTCTGGTGCAGCCTCCGGCTGGCTGCCTGGCCTTCCTCACACTGCTGCCGCACCTCCTGTACCCGCAGGTCGCATGCATCCTGGACACCCTGCAGCTTCTGCTCGAAGCCATCCAGCAGGCTCCCCCAGAGTCGCTGCAGCCGCTGGTCCATATAGTCGTCCAGCAGGGCCAGGGAGGTCAGCGGAGATGGGGGCGTCTCTCGCAGCCGCTGCAGGTGGGCCTCATGGCCGAGGGCCATCCCGTGCACCTCGTCCAGCAGCTGCACCTTGGTCCGTAGCGTGTTGCTCACCTCTGTCACCTTGCTCAAGATCTCATCCAGGGGAGGTGAGAACGGCCCTCCAGTTCTGTCTCCAGGGCTCACAAACCCCTCAGGGATGACTCCAAAGCCCACAGGGGTAACAGGAACTCTGGGGCCACCGGCCATCCTGTTGGGGTCCTCGTGGCTGGCCACCAGGCCCCTGAGGGTACCATATGCTTGTGCCAGGCGCTGGACCTCACCTTCCAGGCGTTCCAGCCGCTCACCAAACAACCCTGGGCCTTTCCTTCCTGGGAAAGAGGAGGAGAGAACCCCAGAGGTGTCACTGGCCTGGCTCTCTCTTTGGCAATGTTCTGTTGCCAAGCCACTCAGAGATGTCCTGTTCTAAGCCAGCCTTGCTGGGCATAGTTCTGTCAGCTCTGGGTGGGGCCTGGGTGGCTCCACTCATCCTTTTGCCCAGCATGGGATGCACCCTCCCTAGCCCTGCCCAAGCTCTGCTGGCCTGGGTCAGTGGCCTTCCCTGCTCCTCCCAAAAGCCAACCACGCTGGGGAGGTCCCCATGGACAAACTCACCGTAGGGGCTGGGGACTGCTCTGTTGGAAGGAAGGGGCCTGTGGCCTGGGCCCAGTTGCCCAGAGGGAATCTGAGGCTCAGGCTCCGGCTGGGGTGGGGCAGGCCTGTGGTCTGTGAGGTGCTCAGGGCAGCCTTCTCCACTGAGCCCAGGGCAGCAGCGCCAGGAGAGCTCCGTCACCATCTTGTAGCCGACCTTGTATTTGGGTCTGAGCAGCGTGCGGTACCTGGGCCAGGGGTGGGCAGAGGGCAGAGCTCTGTATCCATGGGCTGAGGCACCCGCCTGCTGGCAGGTGGCCTTGCCCCCTGACTGGTGTTCAGGGCCACTCTCAGACACGTGGATACGGTCTCGATGTCTTCCCACCTCTATAACACCCCCAAGAGCCTCCTTTTTCTGTGCTTAAAGTGACAGGGCCATGGGGTGGAAGCAAGCCTAGCCGTGGCTTGGAGATGGGTCAGGGCAGAAGGCCCACAGGACCACCTGGACCCCCTTGAGCTCATACTGCCACCAGAAATCTCACTCTGGCTTTGGTGGTGCCTACTCTGGAAACAGCTCTGGCCACAGAAGCTGGTGAGAGGGTGCCTTGGATTTTGAACACATAGGCGAAGGGCCCAGGGGAGAAGGCAGACCAGGGGCCACTCCCTCACCTGTTCAGCATGTACCTGTGCACCTACTGAAGGCAGGCCTGGGCATGTGCCCAGGCATCCTGTGCAAACGGGTTTGTTTTCAGACCTGCGTCTGAACCTCTTCAAGCACAGAGCTGTGCCTCCCACCCGTGTGCAACACCACGCGTCCTCTCTCAGCCCCCACTGTCCAGCCCGACCGAGCCCCACTGGCCGGCTCCCACTGCCTTCTCCCCGGTCCTCACAGCTCCACTTGGGTCTGCACCGCCAGTGTGGCCCTCTGCTCCCCCCTGTCCCTCGCACCCCTTGCCACAGCTTCTTCCTTGCTTGGTGCTGCCTCTTTCCTAGAAACCCTCCCCTGGTCCCCCTGCAGGTGGGGCTCTGAGCAGAGCCTGCCCTTGACTCCTCCCTGGGTCCCTCCTTTCCACTAGTGTGGGGGCCCGAGTCACCTCCCTTATAGTCCAAGGAGTTACAGCCCTTGAAGAGCTGGCTGCTGCTCTCAGCTGAGGGCAGGGCTGGGGGGTGTGCCAAGGGATCCTGAGTGGGTGGATGGGGGTGCACTCACGTGACCGTCCCGGGGCACTTGGGCCCCCATCCACACTGCCGGTACTCAGCCTTTATGTAGCTCTCTGCTCCCTCCTGTAGGACACAGGTCACATTCCTGTGCACCACGTAGGCACAGAGGGCC